CGTGAGGACGTCAGAAGCCTGCACGGGGCTTGCCTGGGGCTGCTGCAGAGAACGGGCTAGGCTGGAATGTGCGCATGCCCGGTGTCACCCATTTAAGCCTCTCAGCCATCCCAGGCGGTGGTTCAAGAGGCCCAGACGGATTTAAGGGCCGCCCCAGGGTCCCGATGCGACTGGCTGCAGGCGCTGGGCCCTGCCTCCTGGCGACCTGACCTGGAACCCTGCTCACCTTCCTCTGGCAGCCAGAGACGAGTCCAGACCCCGAGCCCTCACGGCAAGCCAGGCGCCCTGTCATCCCTACCACACTCTCACCCTGCTCCCCAGAGGCCGGTCAGGGAGCAGGGACAGGAGGGCAGGATCTCAAGGAACAAAACAGGGTCCTCAAAGGGCTGGTCCTGAGCACAGGGTCTGGGACCCCAGCCTTGAGGTTGGAGAGGGACAGCGGGGCAGGTGGGGGCAGCAGATGAGGATGCACAAGGGTGTCTTAGCTCCGCTGCCACCACAGGGCGCCTCAGGCTGGAGGGGCCTGAAGCAAGAGACATGGATTCCTCACAGCCCCGGAGGCTGGAAGCCCACGGTCTAGGTGCCAGCTGCTTTGGAATCTGTGAGGACTCTCTGCCCGGCTGCCAGGGCGCTGCCTTCCTTTGTCCTCACATGGCCTCTGTGGAGAGAGAGAGAGAGAGATCGCATTCTCTCTTCCTTTCCTGTAAGGCCACCAATCCTATGGGACTAGGGCCCCACCCTTGTGATGTCATTTACTGTTGATCTCCTCCTAAAAGTCCCAACAGGCCCTCTGGGGGTGAGGGCTTCAAGGAATGAATCTGTGGGGGGTACAATGCCGCCCGCAGCAGTTGCTCTAGGAGAAGGGACACTAGTTTTTCTTGATGCCCTGGAGCTCCCCAGGATGGAGGAGGAAGGGGACCCATCAGAGTGTGCCTCTGAGTGACACTTCCTGGGTGACACGTGGGCCACCAACACGGGTGGTCCTCAGGTATAAGCAAGATGGCCTAGTGACCCGATGTCCCCACCTCTGACTCCAGGCGGGATCCAGTGATTCCTTCCAGCATGTTCTGTGGCTGGTTCTCTGCTTTGAGCCTCTGGGGTCAGGGGAAGGGCGGGCAGCTAGAGGTGCCGCCTCTGCCCTAAGGAAAATCGCCTCCTCTATTCCCAGAAGCCACCCTTGTCCCCGCTGTAACGACAAATGAAACAGCGACAGAAGCAAAAGCGGACCTGGAAGCAAGCTGGCCCCCACTTCCTCAAACGTCTGGGAGCTAGACGATGCCGACTGGAAAGCCCTCTCTAGTAGGGTACACACTCAAGTTCATCAGAGTGCCACACGTAATTTTTTAAAATACTGCTTTTTCCCAAGCCCGCGTGGGCCCAGCCCAGCGACACTGAGTCTGGCTTTTAGACCTGTTGTCACTGATCCTGATATGTGACGTGAACATCTCACTTCTCCAAGCATAGGTGTCCTCATCTGTAACGTGTGGGGATACGTTCAAGCACAGGGGAAGTGGCAGAGGTCAAAGGGCCTCAAAAAACGAAGGCAGATATGATTGTGATTAAGAACAATCAGTTGTTCCCACCTTTCGGTTCCTGCAGCCATCGTGTGGAAGACGGATTGTTTGTGTGGTATGGCGCTCATGATGTGTCCAAGAGGGTGAAGGCCTAACCTCTGGTGCCGATGGAGGTGATCTTATTTGGAAATAGGTGCTTACGGATGATCGCGTTAGGGAGAGAGTGTTGAGGGAGGGGTGGGCTCGAATCCATGCAACTGGTGTCCTCATAAGAAGGGGAAATTTGAGCTCAGAGACAGACACCCACGGAGGGAAGGCCATGTGAAATGCGGGCTGGAGACAGCCCTGTACAAGCCAAGCAGCACCCGCGGCGACAGAAGCCGGGGAAGGCCCGGCCCAGACTCTTCCTTACGGCCCTCGGAAGGGGCCAGCCCTGCCGACACCGTGGCCGTGGACTTGCAGCCTCCAGGACTCTAAGACAATAAATGCCTGTCCTTGAAGCCACTCAGCTGGCGGTGCTTTGTGACGTACGACAGCCCCCGGAAACGAATCCGATACCTGACCCCGACTTTGCTTTCTTATTGGCTCTAGTTTGTTAAATGCCCAAGTACTTACTGAGTGACTGCTATCCGCCCTCCCTCCACGAAGCTTCGTCAGGGTTTACGGTCCTGGTCCTGCAGGTGCCATAGACACAAAGGAAGAGAGCAGGTTGCATCTCACCAGCTGAGATACGGCAGACGCATGCCTTCTTCAGACATTCAGAGAAGGGAGAAGCACATGTGAGCTGAGAGGCCAGAGGGCTAGTTGAGAGCTCAACTGAGCCTCGAGGGCTAGGTAGGTTCCAGAGGGCTGGGGAGAGGGGGGAAGCCAGGCCAGGGGAGGGAACAGCCCCGCAGGCCAGGTGCGGAGGTCCATCTGTAACGTGTGGGGATACGTTCAAGCACAGGGGAAGTGGCAGAGGTCAAAGGGCCTCAAAAAACGAAGGCAGATATGATTGTGATTAAGAACAATCAGTTGTTCCCACCTTTCGGTTCCTGCAGCCATCGTGTGGAAGACGGATTGTTTGTGTGGTATGGCGCTCATGATGTGTCCAAGAGGGTGAAGGCCTAACCTCTGGTGCCGATGGAGGTGATCTTATTTGGAAATAGGTGCTTACGGATGATCGCGTTAGGGAGAGAGTGTTGAGGGAGGGGTGGGCTCGAATCCATGCAACTGGTGTCCTCATAAGAAGGGGAAATTTGAGCTCAGAGACAGACACCCACGGAGGGAAGGCCATGTGAAATGCGGGCTGGAGACAGCCCTGTACAAGCCAAGCAGCACCCGCGGCGACAGAAGCCGGGGAAGGCCCGGCCCAGACTCTTCCTTACGGCCCTCGGAAGGGGCCAGCCCTGCCGACACCGTGGCCGTGGACTTGCAGCCTCCAGGACTCTAAGACAATAAATGCCTGTCCTTGAAGCCACTCAGCTGGCGGTGCTTTGTGACGTACGACAGCCCCCGGAAACGAATCCGATACCTGACCCCGACTTTGCTTTCTTATTGGCTCTAGTTTGTTAAATGCCCAAGTACTTACTGAGTGACTGCTATCCGCCCTCCCTCCACGAAGCTTCGTAAGGTTTACGGTCCTGGTCCTGCAGGTGCCGTGGACACAAAGGAAGAGAGCAGGTTGCATCTCACAAGCTGAGATACGGCAGACGCATGCCTTCTTCAGACACTCAGAGAAGGGAGAAGCACATGTGAGCTGGGAGGCCAGAGGGCTAGTTGAGAGCTCAACTGAACCTCGAGGGCTAGGTAGGCTCCAGAGGGCTGGGGAGAGGGGGGAAGCCAGGCCAGGGGAGGGAACAGCCCCGCAGGCCAGGTGCGGAGGTCCGTGGGAGACACGAGGTCCAGGAACAGGCTCAGTCTGCGTCTGCGCTCTCTCCGAGCCTTCTCACCGCCCGCCCTGCCTCTCGCCTGCATCTACCATGCCTCCCCTCCTCCTTGCTTTAAGGCCCAGCAAGACGGCCGCCTGCTCTGTGAGGCTTTCCTGACCCTCTCCCAGGAGCTGCGTTTGCAGGTGGTCAGGGTTTGCAGGTGACCATCATCATCAAGTTTTGTGGGGGCACCCGTTGCCCTGCGACTGAGCGTGGAAGAAGGGGCCCCGTTTCTGTGGGGGAGACACCGTGACGAGCTCACCAAAGCGGCTGCTTTCGTCTGGCAGCTCCCAGACCCCTTGCATCCAGGGGCCCCATGACTAACTCTGGTCAGTGGATGTGGGCAGAAGTGATGTGTGCCCCGTCCAGGCCTGGCTCCTACTGACCCCTGAGCCCTGGGCTGAGCTCTCCTCTTGCCTCTGGTTGGAGGTCCCGGGGCCAGTGGAGGTTCAGGGGCCCTGGAGGAGGGTAGTGGGTCTCTAGCTGGAAGATGCGAGGTTCTGGAGCACCTGGGGGGCCCCTTTCCCCACACCCGCCAACCTGCACTGCAGTGGTGTCAGACACGTGACCACAGCAGAACCTAAACCACCCCCCCTCCCCCGCCCAGCCGCTAACCCAGGATCTGCCGCCGCCTGGCTGCTGGGCGTGGTCTGGGCATCTGACCCAGGGCCCCTCACCGGGAACCCCACCTTCTGCCTGGATACCCACAGGAAGCCCACTCCATGACTTTGGCCAACGGCTGCGGAGAACGGAACCAGAGCTGGCTCCATGTGGCATCACCACTGTGGGTGTGGCTTTGCCCTCTGCCGAAGAGACAGGGTTCTGGGCTCGGACCTCGGTGCCTGCCAGACCCCATCAACCCCCCTGGGAGCCGCCCTCCACCGTTTCGGGGGCAGCCTCCTGGAGTGGGAGCCCCGCGCCCCGATTTGGTGGAGGAGGATTTGAGTTTTCCCCTGGAGACGCCAGGAAGCCAGTTTGTCTGCCTAACGCCAAGGCCCAGCTCCGCATTTCTGGCTGTTTCTGTGGTTACCTCGCTTGGGGTGGTTGGGTGGGTGGTGGTGGGAGTGGTGGAGTGTGGATATATTTGCTCTTCTAAGGCCCTGATTTTCGATTCCGGAGCTGCTGGGCGAGAAGTCCCCGTTACTGCCTCCTACGCAGGTGCCACGGGCAGGGGATGGAGGGAGTCCGGGAACACGGTCTGCTCTCCCTGGACCCGAGGCCACCTGTGCGCGGGGCTGAGCTGTCAGCCAAGCCCCTTCCTCTAGAGACCCACAGGCGTCGGGGAGGGGAGGGCGCGAGGAAGCCCGCTCCTCCTCCTCCTCCTCCTCCTCTTCCTCCCCGCGTTGTAGGAGGGAGCCGAGGCCTGGGAGCCTCAGGGGCCTGCGCAAACGGCCTGGAGTGATCGAAGTCACCGGAGCCCAGTGCAGACCCCTCCTCCGCACGCGGGTTCTCTCCCTCGAGGAGGCGCGGAAGGTCGGTGGGGGAGGGGAGGGCGCGAGGAAGCCCGCTCCTCCTCCTCCTCCTCCTCCTCTTCCTCCCCGCGTTGTAGGAGGGAGCCGAGGCCTGGGAGCCTCAGGGGCCTGCGCAAACGGCCTGGAGTGATCGAAGTCACCGGAGCCCAGTGCAGACCCCTCCTCCGCACGCGGGTTCTCTCCCTCGAGGAGGCGCGGAAGGTCGGTGGTGTCTGCTCCCGGGACGGGCGGCGGCGGGAGGGG